CTGTTTTTCGTGTCCAGCGTCTCTGACCCGTACCTGATGGCCCAGAAACGCTTACGTACCTTCATGTCCAACCTACGGCAGAGATCAATAAACCTGCTGTACAGCCAAACCACCTATGTACAGTCTCGCTCGCTGCGGATGTTAGGGAGTGTCAGGGGGCTGGGTTTGGAGCAGCGTCAGCCTGTTCTCCACCAACTGTGAAAGGTGGAAGGTGACCACAGTTGGTGGAGAGCAGGCCGGCCCCTCGCCAAACCCAGCCCCCTGAAACGGCTAGGCGTTCGCAGAGACGTCCGCAGCGACTAACTGTAGACTAATTCAAAGAAGAGGTCCGCAGATTCCAGAAAAATCGTCCATTCCGTGTTTACCTTGTCCACTATATTCTTTTTCGAGCACCGTGAGCGGTTAATTCTGCAGGCATCACAAGGCTAACTCCAAGTGGGCCCATCCTTCTATCAGTACAAGTACAAGAACTCCTATCAAATATTCGTTTTAAGCAGCTCCTGCTTATATTGCCTTTCAGATCTATGCACTGATTCAAATGGGGGTAATGGGATGGCAAACGAAATACGTTCGAGATATCCAATGGGAGTACGAAGGACGACAACTGCCGGCTACAGGAGGGTCGGTATCGTTTCTCAGCACTCATTTTTTATTGTTCCTTTTTCTGTTAAAATTCTGAACCATTCAAACCGTCAAGTTTTCCTAGTCGCGTACTTGGAAAAGAAAATATTTGCATAAAACAAGCGTTTGACGTTTTGCTCAATGGGGAATTCCCGAGAGGAAATGTCCAGGGCCTCATGGTTCCCTCAATTTTGAAGTGTGCATGCACTATCTCATCGATCATTTTCTTTTCTCTGAAAATATTTGCTATGTGGATAAGCTTGCTTTCCAGGATTGACGCCTTCCAAGCTCGTTTTCCTGGCCTCTATGCCATCTACACAGAAACTCCTGAACGCAGAAGGATTAACGGTAATAGCTCAGCTCATCGAGTTTCCGACCCCTTCCAGTTCTTGAATTTCTTTTAGCCCTGTTCGTCATTGTGCTGGTAACTCTATTCTTGTCTTTCGTGCATTTCTTCATGTCAATCGCTTTACTCTATGGTGCTATCAAGGTGAGTGGGTTCTGAATTTTCTCTTTTGTAACAATCGGTTTCCTAATCTTCAAAAAGCTTTTAATCACTCTGTCTTTTTTGTGTTCCTCGGGGATTTTGATAGCTGTGGTTTTCAGATATTAAACATGTAATGAGCTGCCAAAGGCCAAATCCTCTGGGCTTTCCGCAGTCTACATAGGCTCTTAGGACCATTGAATCCCGAAACAGTGGGTTTTCTACGGAGGTGCCGCGTTTTCTCGAAAGCACATTCTACTAGGAGAAGCGCAGCGCGATCTACTCGTGTTCAAGTTAGACTGACCTACAAGCTGTGCCAAGTAAAAGCTGTGCCAATTTCGCGGCTCGAAGCTGTGTCCAAGGGGTGAAGGCCTTTCTCGTTTATGACGCCCATACCCTGAACAGTACGGTAGTGTGACAGCTAATATATCAGCATTTGATCCTGTAGTAAAATAAGGTACAGCATCGGGATGGGTGAAACGGGCGTGTCAGTATAACCCAACGATTCTTCTTCCCTAGCAATCAAACACGATTTCTGATGGGTTTCGCGCCATGATGCTGTACGCCAAGTACAACATTCGATTGTACAGTCTATCCGGAATGGAACTACTCCACAAAAACACAGTGGTTAACCATCCTGCCTAATGGGTACCTTCTGAAATGCCCTTCTTGGGCGCTGAAGGGAGGGTCTTATTTAGGCCTAGAAAGATGGCAAGATGGCATTGGGATCCCAGGTTTGTCTGTGCACTACTAAGCAGCATCACCTACCACTGCACCAACTCCTTGAAGGATGACGGATTAGAATTAGCAGTGATACCTTTGTGATTTTTCCATTATCTTATGAAAGAATTTAGTATAACAAGAACTTTGTGTGGCCATGGATTTTCTCTGCAGCCCCGATTATAATCATGTCTACGGCTTATGCAGTGCTGTGGTGGAGTGGAGTGAGTTGTTCATTGTATTCATTATCATCATCCAACTATTCTTCAGTTCTGAATGATTTTACACGATTATGATTTTTTTGGATAGGGTTTCACATTTTTTCTGATTCTACAGCTCGAATAATGGTATTTTGATAGCTTAGCATAGCTCTTCATAACGTTTCATAGGGAGTTGTGCAGCTATTTTGGTAGCTACTTTTCTCCACCTCCCCTATCATCCATCCACATTTCGAAAACGAAGCGGATGCTAACACAAGATTGCTGAATATTAGCGAAAAGTTTTCCCTGGAGCCGGAACTCGACTCCACTTTCCAGTTGGGTTAGACCCCTATTCCAGCGACCTCGTGTGTTGGAGTCCCGGCTGAAGCACGGTAATCGGGAAACTAATTGCTGTATTAGTATATTAACGTACGATGAAGTTCAATAATAGAAACGTTTCTTGAGAGGGCACAAAAGGGGTCGTGCATAAAAGTCACTCTGCTCATGCCTGTCACAGGTCTGACTGGAGAGAGATCCAGGAATGAAGTATGCCTGAGGTGGTCTACAGTAAGCAGAATCGAGCTTACCCTGTGAAGTCACCAGTATTGATGAGCAAAAAGGCCTACATTTTCTGTGCCAGCCTGAAACTGCCGCACTGTTTTGTAAGACCGACCTCGTTTTGGAACTGGTCTCCTCCAGGAGTAATTTGATTTGAAAGTGAAACTGAAGTTTCTGCAAATAGCGG